CCTGAACGCCAGCCGCTCCCAGCCCCACCATGTGCGAGGAGGAGACCACCGCCCTGGTCTGCGACAACGGCTCTGGCCTCTGCAAAGCCGGATTTGCCGGCGACGATGCCCCCCGCGCTGTCTTTCCCTCCATTGTGGGGCGGCCCCGGCACCAGGTGGGTACCCGGGGGGGCGAGCGGCAGCCCCCAGCCACCCCCCACCCTGCTTTAATCACTGAAATGAGGCTAACGAGGCCGTCTCTCTCGCTGGCGTTAGGGTGTCATGGTAGGCATGGGGCAGAAAGACAGCTACGTGGGCGACGAGGCGCAGAGTAAGAGGGGTATCCTCACGCTCAAGTACCCCATCGAGCACGGCATCATCACCAACTGGGATGACATGGAGAAGGTGAGACCCCCCCCAGGCCACCCTGGGCCGGGGAGCGGGTGCTGGCCCCAGCTTCGGTTTGGGATAAAACCCCAATTCTCCTTTGCCCACCTTAGATCTGGCACCACTCCTTCTACAACGAGCTGCGCGTCGCCCCCGAGGAGCACCCGACCCTGCTCACCGAGGCACCCCTCAACCCCAAGGCCAACCGGGAGAAGATGACCCAGGTAAGGCACTGCGAAAGCCCTGAGGATGGGCCCCCCGAAACCGCAGGAAGGGCTGGAGGATTTGGGGGTTTAGCGAGCCAGGAGGGGCCGGCGCGGCAGCGGGGAGCAGGCGGTGGGATGAAGTGGTGCTTTAATAAGGGCAGAGCTCTCAGCGGTGCACTCGCATGGACCCATGGGTTTCTCTGCAGCACGTGGACCTGCAGGGTTTGCCATGCAATGCGCTGACCCACGTTTTTTCTATGCAATGCAGAGACCCACGTGATTTTCTGTGCAATGCAATGACTCACGTTTCCATGCCATGCATTGACCCACGTTTTTCCATGCAACGTGGTGACCCATGTGTTTTTCAGCATAACGCAGCGATCCATGTGTTGTTCTGTGCAGTGCATTGACCTGCACGTCTGTGCAATGTGATGATCCGCCTATTTTTCCATGCAATGCAATGATCCGTGTGTTTTTCCATGCCATCTCTCCGGGAAGGCACGGCCACCGTGGGTTGGGGTGGGATGCCACTGGGGACCCCCATGCTCCTTCCTAACTCGCTGCCCCTCTCACCGTCCCTCCCAGATCATGTTCGAAACCTTTAACGTCCCCGCCATGTACGTTGCCATCCAAGCCGTCCTCTCCCTCTACGCCTCCGGCCGCACGACCGGTGAGTAGGACATGCAGCACCCCAGGGACCATCCGTGATGGGGAAGGGACCAAGCTGGCTTTGAGCACCCTCCCTCACCTTCCCCCCTCTTCCCAGGCATTGTCCTCGACTCCGGGGACGGCGTCACCCACAACGTGCCCATCTATGAGGGCTACGCTCTGCCCCACGCCATCATGCGTCTCGACTTGGCCGGCCGTGATCTCACTGACTACCTCATGAAGATCCTCACCGAGAGGGGCTACTCCTTCGTCACCACCGGTACGGGGTCAGGGAGGGAGGTATGGGGTGATAGGGGACCCTGTGGTGCCACTGCGGCACCGAGTTGAGCCTGTTCACCATTGTCTCCCACAGCCGAGAGGGAAATTGTGCGTGACATAAAGGAGAAGCTCTGCTATGTCGCCCCACCAGCAGGCAACCACCTCCCATGGGTGCCCCACAGAGGCATTTCAGGTCTCCCCCAAGTGCTTCGCACCCCAAATGGGGGGACAAACCCATCAGTGATCCCATGGCTCTTTTGGGGAGCCCTGAGAAGGCACGGATGGGAGTCAGGGTGCTGACAGCCCCCTTCCACCCCAGGCATGGAGTCAGCTGGCATCCATGAGACAACCTACAACTCCATCATGAAGTGCGACATCGACATCCGCAAGGACCTCTACGCCAACAACGTGTTGTCCGGCGGCACCACCATGTACCCCGGCATCGCTGACCGCATGCAGAAGGAAATCACGGCACTGGCTCCCAGCACCATGAAGATCAAAGTAGGTGGTGGAGGAGGCAAACCGTGGCCACCAACACCCCAAATCCTCTCCTGGTGCAGATTTGGGGGGGGGGGTGTCAAGGGGTGCATCCTCATGGCTCATGTCTCGGCAGATCATCGCCCCGCCAGAGCGGAAGTACTCGGTGTGGATCGGCGGCTCCATCCTGGCGTCCCTCTCCACCTTCCAGCAGATGTGGATCAGCAAACCCGAGTACGACGAGGCCGGACCCTCCATTGTCCACCGAAAATGCTTCTAAGCCTCCTCCCCACCCCGTGGCGGCCCCCCACACCCAGGCTGGGGTGCCCCGCTCCTCCTCGGTCCCTGCTGCTCCTCCCTGCTGCCCACTGCGCATTAAAGCCTTTTCTCCAGGCTCTGCCCCTTTTCTGGGAGATTTTGGGGCTTTGGGGGTTGGGGGGG